ATTTGTTTAACCATTTACCTGTTGATGGATATTTGGGTAGTTTCCAGTTTGGGGCTATTACAAATAAGACTTCTACAGACATTCACGTAAAAGACTTTGTATGGACAAATGTTTTCATTTCTCTTGGGCAAATATCTAGGAAAGGAATTGTTGGACCATATGGTAATTCGACGTTTAACTCTTTAAGAGACAACTAAGCTGCTTTCCAAATTAGTTGTACCATTGTACATTTCCACCAGCAGGGTGTGGGACTGCTAGCTTTTTCACATCTTTTCCAGCACTTGATGTGATCAGTCATCTTAGTTTCTGTCAAGCAAACAGATATGTAGAGGTATCTTCTTGTAGTTTTAATCATCATTTCCTTAATGATTAATGATGTTGGGTGCCTTCTGTGTGCTTATTTCCCACCCACGTATCTTTTTATTTATTGGGTTTTGTTATTATTGACTTTCAAGAGTTCTTTATATATTTTGGATACAAGTTTTTTTTTTTTTTTTTCCTGTCATATGATTTGTTTATATTTTCTCTCAGATTATGGCTTGTCTTTTCATTCTCCTAAAAGTGTCTTTAGATGAGAAGACATTTAAAATTTTTATGAAGTCCTTTTTATCAGTTTGTTTATTTCTGGATACTCTTGGAGGAATGTGTAAGAAACCTTTGCATAACCCAATGTCAAAAAGGTTTTCTCCTAGAAGATTTTTAGTTTTAGCTTTTAATTCAGGGCTATATGTCTCTCCCCTTCTCTGAGTCTGAGACTTCACTGGAAGTCACAGCCAATGTCATAAGACAGATAAAATAAATGAAATATAAAAAATTTAATAAATCCAGGGCTATATTGTTCAAGGTATAAAGTCAACATTTTCAGATATGGATATCCCATTGTTCTAGCACCATTTATTATAAACCCTGTCCTTCGCCAAGTTAATTGCCTTTGCACTTAAAAATCAGTTGTAAAAAATCAGTTGCTTGTATCTTGATTATTGGAGTTTTATTGTAAGTCTTAAAATCTGGGAGTGTTAGCTTTCCAGCCTTATTCTTTTAAAAAGTTCTAATGGCTAATTTAGCTCCTTTGTATTAGAATAAGATTGTTCAATCTCTATTAAAGAAACCACACTGGAATTTTGATTTGAGAGAATTGACATCTTAACCATATTGAGGCTTCTGACCCATGAACACAATATAGTGTATCTTTCCATTTATTTAGGTCTTTAATTTGTCCAGTGATGTTTTACACATGTCAGGGTACATGTCTTTTAATATTTGTCAGATTTATTCCTACACATTTTATATTTTTTAATTATATTTTTAAAATTTCAATTTTCAGGGTTATTTTTTTCCCAGTTCTATTAAGGTCTAATTGACAAATAAAATCACATATATTTATAGTAATGTTTGGATATATGTATGCATTGTGAACTGATTAAATCAGCTAATTCACATGTCTATCATCTCACTTCCTTATTTTTGGTGGTGAGACAATTGAAAATTGACTTTCTGAGCAGTTTTACGTACACGGTATGTTATTATTAACTATAGTAGCCATGTTGTACAATAGGTCTTTAGCACTTGTTCCTGCTGTTGAACTGATAATGTGTACACTTTAACCAACATCTCCTCATCCTCCCACCTTTAGCCCCCAATCCCAGGCAACCATCATTCTACTATACTCTGCTTCTATGAATTGACTTCTTGAGATTCCATATGTAGGTGAGATCATGCAGCGTTTGTCTTTTGTGCCTGGCTTATTTCACTATGCATTATATCCTCCAGGTTCATCCATGTTGTTGCAAATTACAGGAGTTTCTTTTTCTTTTTTTTTTTTTAGGTTGGATTATATTCCATTGTACATATATACCATATTTTCTTCATTCATCAGTTGACAGACATTTATGTTAATTCTCTATCACGACTATTGTGAATAATGCTGCTGTAAACATGGGAATATAGACATCTCTTTGAGAAACTTTTTAAATTTCTTTCTGATATATACCCAGAGTGGAATGTGGGATTGCTAGATCATGGGGTAATTCTATTTTAATTAGGATTAGTAACATGTAATGTATGAAGAATCTCCATACTGTTTTTCATAATGGCTGCACTAATGAACATTTTCACCAATAGCTTACAGGGTTTTCATTTTCTCCACATCCTCACCAACACTTATTTTTTTGTCTTTTTGATAATAGCTATTGTTTTTGATAATAGTTATTCTATTCTTTTTGAAAACAGCTACTTTTTGTCTTTTTGATAATAGCGATTTCCCTGATGATAAGCCATAATGAGCATATTTTAATACACCTGTTGAACATTTGCATCTCATTTTTTGTCTATTTAAATGTCTATTCAGGTCCTTTGCATCTTTTAAAAATTGAGTTGAGTACTTACTATTGAGTTTTTTGACTTCCTTATGAATTTTGAATATTAGCCCCTTATCAGATATATGGTTTACAAGTATTTTCTCCCATTCTGTTGGTTTTCTGTTCACTTAGCTGATTGTTGCCTTTGCTTTGCAGAAGCTGTGTAGTTGATATCATCCTATTTGTCTATTTTTACTTACATTGCCTGTGCTTTTGGGGTAAAAAAAAAAAATTGCCCAGTGGCTCACGCCTGTAATCCCAACACTTTGGGAGGCCGAGGCGGATGGATCACAAGTTCAAGAGATTGAGACCATCCTGGCCAACATGGTGAAACCCTGTCTCTACTAAACATACAAAAAAATTAGCTGGGCATGGTGGCGTGCACCTGTAGTCCCAGCTACTCGGGAGGCTGAGGCAGGAGAATTGCTTGAACCCAGGAGGCGGAGGTTGCAGTGAGCCGAGGTCACACCACTGCACTCCAGCCTGGCGCCTGGTGACGGAGTGAGACTCTGTCTCAACAACAACAACAACAACAACAACAAATTGCCCAAACCAATATCAAGAAGCCTTTCACCTATGTTTTCTTCTAAAAGTTTTACATTTTAAGTCTTATGTGTTTTTAATTCATTTTGAATTGGATTTTGTATATGGCGTGAAATAAGTGTCAAATTTCATTCTTCTGCATATTGATATATTTTCCCAACGCTATTTATTAAAGAGACTGTCCTTTTTCCATAGTATGTTCTTGGAAACTTTGTCAAAGATCAATTAACTATAAATATGTGGATTTATTTTTGGGCTTTTTATTTTGTTCCATTGGTCTCCATGTCTGTTTTTATACCAGTATCATACTGTTTAGTATAGGTTTTCAGTATATTTTGAAATCAGGGATTGCATTGAAGCTGTGGATTGCTTTAGGGCACTTCAGCAATATTAATTCTTCAAATCCATGAACATAGGATATTCTTCCACTTATTTGTGTCTTGTTCAGTTTCTTTCATCAGTGTTTTTTAGTTTTTAGCATATAGATCTTTCACCTCCTTGATTAAATTTATCTCTAAATATTCTATTTTTGATTCTATCATAAATGGTATTTTCTTGATTTGTTTTTCAGGTAATTCATTGTTAGTATATAGAAATGATCATTTTTGTAGACTAAATTTATATTCTGCAACTTTACCAAATTTGTTTATTAGTTCCAACATTTTTTGGTGGGATCTTTATAACCATGTCATCTGCAAATAATAGCAATTTTACTTCTTCCTTTCCAATTTGGATGTGCTTTTATTTCTTTTTCTTGCCTAATTGCTCTGGCTAAGACTTCCAACAATATGTTGAATAGACTTTGGGAGAGTAGGCATCTTTGTTCCTGATCTTAGAAGAAAAACTCTCAGCTTTTTCTCCAATGAGTTTGATGTCAGCCGTGGGCTTATTGCATATGGCCTTTATTGTGTTGAAGGTATGTTCCTTCTATAATTAATCTGTTGATAATTTTTTGTATATCAATCAGTCATTTAACATTATGGCAAGAAACACATACAGTGTCCCATGGTAAACTGCAGCGTTTCACAATGATAGAAGATAATAAATGTGTAATTCAGTTGTGGCGGAGAGAACAAATCACATTTTTATCACATCTTAGTGCAGAGGACAAACTTGATCTGCAGTAATACTTCAACACCACATGCTAAGTTAAAAGTGTTAAAAAAAACATTTTACACCTATTTTTTTCTTTAAATACATGTATGCCATGTAAAGCTGCTTCACAAAAGGTTAAAATAATTAAAAAGGGAAAAATGAGGCCATTATTTTTTCATAGATCTCATTGGCAGGTTAACATGGCTCTATATATTTACTGTATATATTTACTTTAAATATGTATTGTTTAAAATTGTGTAATAATTCCCATCTACCCATACATCCACTAGCAATAATATCTAAGATGATTAGTAATCAACACAGAAAGTTGAGATGAGAGAAAAGACGAAGGTTTGTTTTTGTTCTTTTGTTTTCCTTTTTTGCTTCTCTTTAAAAATAGGATTCTAAGGACTGTGAATTACTATCGTTAAAATAACGACGATGGAGATTCCATGTACCGAAAAGCATTTTCAAGAAGAAAAAAAATAGCACAGGAACTGAATCAACAAAGGAAAAATGAGAAGCACAAAGAAAACCTAGGACATTTCCCTTTTGGTTTTAAACTGGAAAATCCTAGCTCCTTGAAGTAATATAATGATACTCTGACTCAAGAGAGAAGCTAAATAAGCACAAGTCACAAAGACCAAGTTCAAAACCCTTATGAGAATGGAACATTTGTAAGCCTCCCTAACTCTAGAAAACTAGCTAGTGATGATGCACAAGTGACTCTGTCATTCTTCAAGACGGAGGTAAGTGTGTTTACAAAACCCCCTCTGTCATCAACTTGGCATCCTCCTGGCAACTGTCCCTGTCAGTAAGACATTACAGTCACAGGAGGAACTTTCTTTTTTCCTATATTTAAACAATTCTAATGCCTCCAACATATTTAGGATACCTAAGTCCAAACGAGAGCTGAAGCAGAGTTATAAACCTTTAAAATCTTGACAACATTTTTGTGGGCCCTGAAAATAATCAAAAGTGCTAGTTTAGCTGCCTTTAAAAGACCTTTTTTTCCCTTTTACCTTCATTATGCAAATTTCCCTTTCATTCTCTTCTCACACACTACTAGCCCAGCCTCCCCAAAAAAGGAAAAAGGAAAAAAAGTAAGAAAAAAATCGAACAAAAGAAAAATAAAAAAGGCAGCAAACAAAAGGAACAAAGACACAGGATAAAGAAAAGAGTTCACAGATTTAAGAAAAAAAATTCACCAAAAAAATGTGAATGTATCCTAAAGTGATTAAACTCAGAAATGATGTGCATTTTTCCAGTTTACACGGTTTGACCAAAACCAGCATGGCTTTATGTGGTAGCAAACCAACCGATTCTTGCTTCTATTTTCATAAGTGATTTTGCCCACATATCAACCCACTTTAATTGTTAAACAGCAAAACTTTCAATGAAAAATCATTCATTTTAACCAGGATCACACCAGAAAACTGAAGGTATATTTTTTTACGTTTTTCTTAAAAAAATCAAAAACAAAAACGAATAAGCCAAAACAGATTAACAGCAAAGAGTTCTAAAAAATTTACATTTCTCTTACAAACTGTCATTCAGAGAACAATGGTTCTTAAGTCTGTTAAATCTTGGCATTAGCAGAGAAACTTGATGAAGAGTCATACTTGGAATATTGTGAAAAAATTGTTTTTGTCTAATCTCTCCCTATTGTTTTGCCAACAGTAATTTAAATTTGCATGGAACATCCCCATAGTTGCAGTGTAAACAATGTATAGGAAGGAATATATGATAAGATGATGCATCACATATGCATTACATGTAGGACCTTCACAACTTCATGCACTCAGAAACATGCATGAAGAGAGGAGGAGAGGACAGCCCAGGGTCGCCATCCAGGTGCCTTGAGAACAGAGAACGCAGAAGTGGCACTGTTGATATTTAGTTGGTGGGTACTGTTGGTGACCCCGAGCGATGAAAGTGAACATTCTGCCACTTTGCATCCCGGCGGTGCCACACCCAAGTCTCTTCTGACTACATTGTCTTTGGCAATCCACTGCCATCCATGTACTGTGTGTGCAGTGCTGTGCGGGCAGCATCATCCCTTACCAGATGTACATGAGGGTTTAGAATAATAGTGTGGATTGGTTTATTGCTTTGGGGTAAAGCATTTTCAAAGTAGAACTGGTGAAAATCCATCCCTTCCACTAACTTACCCAAAGCTTCAGGTTCAAAAGCGGGTAAGGCATGGGTCACAGTCTTTTCTGTAGGCTTCAAAGTCTCCGTTGTTGATAGCTTCGATCAGTTGTTCAGTGACTTTGGTAATCTCTTGCTTTCGTGCTTTCACATCTTCATCCTCAATTGTTGTCTTTGAACTCTCAGTTGACTCCTTTACTCCATTTGGTTTCTTCAACAAACTCTTGGCTGCTGAGAAATTCCTTGTAGCCACCATAGTTGCCAAGATGGGACCCTTTAGTTTTCTTCTGGCGTTAAATTTCTTAAAGCAGCCTATAGACTCCTGTGTGTGCATCATGGAAGCAACAGTAGAATGCTGACAGATCCATGGGTGTTTGAGTGCCTCTGAGGCTGTGATACGTTTGGCAGGGTTGATAGTAAGCATTTTATTGATGAGGTCTTTCGCTTTAGGAATCACCATATTCCATTCCAGTGATGGAAAAGCATAAGCTCCAGCCTTGATCTGCTGATGGGGTCTGTGTTGATAAAAAAATTTGTGCTTGCTCCTGCTTTCACATTTTGTAGAGCCTGTTTCCACTTTCCTTCCTGCCATGAGTAAAAGCTCCCTGAGGTCTCAGAAGCAAATGCTGCCATACTTCTTGTGCCAAAGTTATTGGAGGTGCACTGTTTGAAGACATAGTGGCAAGAAAATACTACAGTGAAGCTGTAGTATTTTCATCCCGGAAGGGTGGACACTCCACCAGTAGAATATAGAGAATGACACCACATGCCCACATATCCACTGGTTTTACAGAAGGGTCTTTATGTAAAACTTCTGGAGAAAGATAGCCAGATGTGCCAGCAAAACCAAACCACGGCTGCTGGTCACCTTGAACTTCTGTGGCTAAGCCAAAGTCTGCCAATTTCATAGCTGCTCCCTTGGATTTGCTAGCTAAGAGCAAATTCTCAGGCTTCAGGTCCTGATGGACCATGCCAATCTGATGGCAGTGTAGCACAGCCTCCAGGATCTGCTGAATACAATGATTTCAGGTCCCTGTGAACTATGCCATTTACGTGACAATGATTTACACTTTCTAGAATCTGCTGTATACAGTGAGTGCATCAGCTTCACTGTAGTATTTTCTTTCCGCTATGTCTTCAAACAGTTCACCTCCAGTAACTTTGGCACAAGAAGTATGTCAGCATTTGCTTCTGGGGAGACCTCAGGGAGCTTTTATTCATGGCAGGAAGGAAAGTGGAAACAGGCAGTACACATGGTGAAGCAGGAGCAAGAGAGAATTTTTTTTATCATGAAATAATGTTAAACTTTGTCCAGCGATTTTCCTGCGTCTATTGAGATGATCGTATGGTTTTATACTTCAGTCTGTTAATGTAACATACTGTATCACATTTCTTGATTTGTATATGTTGGACAATTCTTACATCCTAGGAACACATTCCACTTGATCACGTTGTATGATCCCTTAAGGTGCTGTTGAATTTTGTTTACTAGTATTTTGTGGAGAATTTTTGCTACCTTTGTAAAATAAGTGTGGAAGTGTTCGTGCTATCTAATTTTTGCAAGGGTTGGAGAAGGCTTGGCATTAATCTTATATAAATGTTTGGTAAAATTCACTGGTTACATCATCAGGCCTTGAGATTTCCTGTGTTGGGAGTTTTCAATTACTGATTTAATCTCTTTGCTCATTATTGGTATGATTAGCTTTTTAATTTCTTACTATTTTAGTAGGTTGTATGTTTCTAAGAATTCAGTTGTTTATTGATGGTATATCAAAATACATTTGACTTTTGTACATTAATTTGTGTCCTGCAACTTTATTAATCTCATTTTTAGTTGTAGCCCTTTTTTTTGGGAATTTCACCAGACTTTCTCTGTAGAAGATCATGTCATTGTCATATTATCATGTCATTGTCATCAATATCATATTAATAAAGATATTTTTAACTGTTTATTTTCAGCTGGATGACATTTGTGTCTTTTGCTTTCCTTATTGCATTGGCAGGAGTATCTAATACAACATTGAATTTTAAGTGGTCAGAGTAGATATCTTTTCTTATCAAATGGAGAAAAATGTAGCCTTTTGCCATTGAATGTGATATTATAGACTTCTCATGCATACTCTTGAGCAGGTCAAAGAAGCTGGGGCATTTTGTTTCCCCTTTTTTGGATCACTGTCCTTCATTGACTAATATCCAGTGTCTTGCCAACCATTGTTTTATATGTCTGTTCTTTGGTTGTTTTAGGAAGGAGGATAAATCAGGTATTACTTACTATACCTTGCCTGGAAATGGAAGTTCCTAGGTCTACTCTAAATATATTTTATAATAAAAAGAGAAGACTTTAAACTCTTATATCACTTACATGATTGATTAGTTTATTTTACTATGTAGAGAAAATTTTGTTCCTCATAAAAAACAACATGAAGGCACATATATGGTCGATATCATAATCTTGGACTGAATGATTGATTGGCTCATTCAACAGCTATTTATTATATGTCTACTATGTAACAGTGCCAGGTAGACTTCCAGACCCTGGAGATTTGTCTCTAGACAAAGAAGGCAGGTTTCTGCTGGAGTGGAGCTTTCATTCTGGTGCAGGAAAGAGTAGATTATTACACAAGTAAACACATAGGTAAGATAATTGCAGATAGTGAAGACCATTTTGAATCTAGCTTTGTTTGAGAGAGAATGACTGGCAGAAGGAAATACTTTAGAACAGTCATCTGAGGAGTCCTCTATGAAGAGCTGACATTTGAGCTGAGACGTAAGTGATGAGAAAGAACCAGTTGCCCCAAGTTTTGGGAGAAAAGCATTCTACACATCAAAATAGATAATGACCAAAAGGACTTAAGCTGGATAAAGGATTTAAAGACAGAAATACTTCCCTCACAAACAAAGGATAAGAGCCTAATGAGAAGGGACTTCAAATTAATATCAGAACCATGCTATAGGTTATTTATAACATTATTCTCAGGGGAATCATGAAGAAAACATTTTCATAGGGCTTTACAGGTTGTTCAGGCAGGCATTACTCTGCCACCAGAGCCACACTGGTTGTAAAGGAGCTTGAAAATAGCCCTAGATTTAGGTGTGTGCAGCAGTATGCTAGGGCTGGCTTGGGCAGGCTCTCCAGAGCCAACTGTGGGCAACTTTTCCTAACTCACATTCAATGATGTCACCTTCATAGCTTGAAATCAGCCATGGTGGGAGAATTTACACCACAAAAATGGCAAATTTTACAAATCATGGGCTTTTCTCCCCAGAAATCTCATTGTTAAACATTTATTAGCATACCACTTTATATAACAGTGTTTATGAGCACAACACTACATAATCAGTACTCTGTATAATATTAATATATATTCATATATTCATATAGATCGTAGTCCATAGCCTCTAAAAGTAAGTAAGAACATAATTTTATTTAACGAAGAAGAAAGTTATACTAATTATACTTTTGGGATTCCATGGATGGAGGTAACAACTTACTTTCAACTATGCTAAAAATGTGAAAACCTGAACTTTAGAATTGAATAAATACAGCATTGCTTAAGATCATTATGTAGAAAATGCTGTATAGTTTATTTTATTGTATGCATTGGTCATTCAAATAAAATGCCTAGCTCTAATTACAAGTCCAAAATTTTAAAAAAATCAACATCAGTACAGTTTTGAGAGTTTAACAAAAATGTTTGAACTTAATAAGTCCAATTCATAATAAAAGTCAAGACTTTGGGAGCTTATGTGGACAAATTGAAAACAGCCTCCCTTTTACCTACTATCACATGGCACTTGCTGCTTGTTATTGGTGTATTATTTAGTTACCTGTTTTTCCCAAATAGACACTAGCACGCTTGAGGGTAGAATTCCTCTGTGTCTTATATTATTTATATTTTGTGTTGAGATAGTTACCCAGCTCATTATAAGTGATCACGAAATGTCAAGTGAAAAAAAAATCAAGGTATTTATCTGTTTATCATGTATGTTTATCTATCTATCTATCTATCTATCTATCTATCTATCTATCTATCTATTGTGACTCCTTACCAAGGCATATTCATGTTTGGGTATACCACTTCACACACACATGGTAGCATGAAGATTCTACTTTTACAGATCTTTCACTATGTCTTATCAATCAGATACATTGTTCAGTAACCTCTTTTCTCTGGACAGTCTCACCACAGAGTCCAGCACATAGTGCTGATCATGTAGCCCATTTGGTAGGTAAGATATTTCTGACAAGTTAGTTGAGTATAAACGTAATTAAAAACTGATTGTATTGACCACATCACTGGCCTGCTGTGATGGCATTTGGACAGTCTGACATGAGTAGATTTGCCCTTCCTTGCTCTTAACGACTGGATGCAGGTGAGAATGTCCAGTGAGCCTTTATATCCCAGTTGCCTAACAAGCTTTGAGAAAGAAAGTCTCAGGGTAGCTCTTCTCAGGCACTCTGGTACAATAGAAAAGAAACTGACCATTACTACCAGGTACCAGCCAAGCACATCACTATGAATAGATCCATTTGGACAAGGTGGCTTCTTTCTTTTTCTTTTTCTAGAAGCTGAAAATATCCCCTGATAGCTTAACAGAGAAGAATAAATTGTCCTCATGTATTTACACAGAGGAGAAGATTTTCCTCATTGTACTTGCAATTTTGTCTTGTGTGATGACCTCCATTTTCATAATCCTTCATGGAGTATCATGATTTAAAAAGCTTTTTCTCCCTGCTGTTTCTGTTAAAAGGTTTTCTGGTGCAATTCCTGGAAAGTCAAATTCTGCATTTAAATGTTGTATTTTCGCAGATATAATATAAAAGAGGCCATACTTTTACGTGTTTTTCTTCCTGGGAGAGTAGCAAGCAATTCCACCCTTCTGCATATATTGTTAACCAAGCTATAAGAGTGTACAGCAGCTCTAATAGCAAAGCAATTGTGATTACATCTTGCTCGTAATTACATTTATTTGCTCACATATGTCCAAAAAGGCAAGCATTAGTCAGACTCTATGGGTATGCGTTTGTGCAAGGAAAATCATCCAGTGGGTTGACAGTGAAGAAAATAGCTTTTAGCTTCTTAGGTCTCTCCCATCACAGACACTCCCAAAGACTATCAGAGCTTACTTAGTTTTTGCTTCCATGCTTCTAAAATCGATTGCATTTTCAAAGCAGGGTGATTTATTATGGGTGATGGATTTGCATCAAAATAAACAAAATATTAGCAGGTGCATATAACAAGATACATGTCTGTGTTCCCAGAGAAGAGAGTTAAGAAATACCATGGTTCAAAGCAACTTTAGAAAGGCAGCTGTCCCATCCAAAGAAAGGATGTTTGCTGCTTCTCAGGGAATGTAGAGGAAAATAAGAGAGTTCGGCATGTGAAAGAATTTTAGATCTGCATTTTTGAACTGTCCCTAAGGAAATGGGACAGTGATGGAAATAGCATTGGCTTTTTGTGAGGTGGATGGGTTTGGGTCCTGGCTGTGGTATTTATAACTCAAAAGAGTTTGGAGAAATTACTTTACTCCTCTGTGCCTTCATTTTCATTCTTTCTTTTCTTTCTTCTTCTTCTTCTTCTTTTTTTTTTTTTTTGAAATGGAGATTTGCTTTTGTCGCCCAGGCTGGGGTGCAATGGCATCATCTTGGCTCACTGCAACCTCTGCCTACTGGATTCAAGCAATTCTCCTGCCTCAGCCTCCCAAGTAGCTGGAATTATAGGCATGTGCCATGGTGCCCACCTAATTTTGTATTTTTAGTAGAGATGGAGTCACCATGTTGGCCAGGCTGGTCTGAAATTCCTGACCTCAGGTGATCCACCTGCCTTGATCTCCCAAAGTGCTAGAATTACAGACGTGAACAACTGTGCCCAGCCTGTGCCTTCAGTCTCTTATTACTAGAATGGAGGTAGCAATGCCAAGCTTATTGGGCTGTTTTAAAATGTACTACTCATGAGATTGTACAAACTCCTTGCAAGCAACCACCGAAACTGGGCTGCTGTGGTATCCTTAGAACCTGGCATAGTTCCTAGAATATCTTACTCAATGAGTATTTCTTTTTAAGTATGTGAACGTAAATTGCTTGATATGGACACGTCTCAGACCATTGCATTGTATTATTTTCCTATTGGTGCTGTAATAAATGACCACAAACTTCAG